GTTTTCTTAAGTGTGGTCAGGAAGTGCAGGTCTGTCTCTGAGGCAAATGGGGACATTCACGGTGTTTTGTATTTTCTTAACGTATCTTGTGCTGACCTTCTTAGAGTGGCTGGGATCTAATTGGGAACCCATCTGTCTGTGACAGGCACTACTCTGAAGTACTACTTCGAGTTAATTGTGTATGCATCTCTATTTGGAGTACTTTAAGGATACAAAAGATTAATTACCTGACCTTAGCAAATACACATTCCTTTTTGCGAAACCTAGGGGGAAAGTTGAAATTTCCAGTGAGTCTGCCATGATTGCATCAGCAGTTATGTCAGCTTTCTATGTTTTCCAATGTGTTCCCTCGAGCTCACCGTTACTTAGCACGGCGTCTATAGCTAGAGCAGCTGAAAGTCACGGAGCAGTTTCAGTCCTTCTGCTGTTTCTCCTTAGTTGAAATTCTTTGTTACGAAAAAAATTCTCAACTCGCTGCATTTTCTAACTGTTTACTTTCCTTTGATGACATCTAGAATGTAAGTTGCTAAATTATTTGATTTTTCGTCATGTAATATCTAGCCTACACTTGTAACTTTTTAATAAATTAACTTTAATCTTTTTCTTCAAAATGAAGTGTGAAGTTATGTTCTTTCCCGTTTAATTTCTTATTACATTATCTTGAATTATGTGCTTTTCCTGGTGCTTACAGTTGTATGTGTGCAATGTGTGGTCTTAGAATTCCAAACCTGTCTGATTATTTCTGAAGCAGAGGAAGAAAGGATTACATAGAGTTATCCTTTACCATGAGCAGTAAAAAATAAGATTTGGACAATGGTAAGGGTACGTACAGTAATACTTTAATTTAAAAATGCATTAGAGATGTTTAAAGCCTCAGTCATTTTAGGTACTAGAAATTCATCTGAATTTATAAGAAACGTATTACTCATGATCTTTATAGCATTTTGCATACTGTGTGTACCTATCTTCAAAAATAATGATGAAAATATAAGACATTATCTGAAAATTTCACATTGTGATTTGCACTACAGCATGGATTCTTGGTATTAACGCTAAGCACGAATGCAACAAGAACAATTCATTACTTTGCCTCCGTCTGACTCAGAGCCCTGAAAGGCGAGTGGCGTGTTGGCGAGGTGTAGTGCAAGCACGCAGGTGTGCGGAGTGACCAGGAGAGGCTTCTCCCTTCCAGGGGTGGCCGATGATGTATTTCTCATGCTTCCTGGGAGGGAGGTGAGGCAGTCTGACCTGCAAACCGCTTTGAAGAGACTCGTGAGGTGTTTGCAAATGCTTTTATAAAGACAGGCCTCTCTCATTGTGAAAAAGACACTTCTGATTTTTTAAAAAAGTGCTTTAGATCGTATTCTCGGTTAAGATGATTTAGGATGGCAGGTGTCAGCATCGTTTGCTGCCTCATTCTGCTGCTCTTCTGTTGTGAACGTTCCTTCTACGTCATTCAGTCTGTTTTTGGGCCTCGTTGTAACTGCGACTAAGGCACCATTCTTAAGAGCAGACAGTTACTAGAAGGCAGAGTGTGTCGGGCACTTTGGAAGCAGCACGTGAGACGATGCCGCGGCGCTCACCACTCTGTACCTCGGTTCTGCCAGAAATGCACTGGAGTCTCGGGGAGGGAGCCCCCCGTTCTTACCCAGGAATGGGCCGCGTGGAGAGCGCGACTCCAGGAGTTTGTTTCTCTCAGTGCTGTTATTTATGCTGGAAATGCTGAGAGACTCAGAAAATGGAATGTACAGCAGCTTTTTATGGGGGAAGGTTTTGTGTGTTCTTTAACTTCACTCCCTCCTAAAATGTTATTATTTAGCATCTGAATGGCACTTTCTGTAGGCAAAAGCACTTTCCCATGTTGTGGAGGCACAATTTTGCTGGGTTGAATAGGATATTAGCTTTCAGAAAGAACAAGATAATGATGGGTTTGAGATTGAACAGTGCTTTTATAATCCCTGTGAAATTAAACCCAGTCCAATGGAACCTGTTTACGTTGCTGGTAAATATGTCAGCTTCCATCAAGCATTTTTTCCTCCCTGCACTGGGGGAATAATTTCAATGTGCAGACTTGAATTGATAGAGCAGTAGGTTGTGGGTTGTGCGTTAACGTGTTTATGTAAGAATGAATTTAGATACATTTTTCAGGACTTTGCCAGATCAATGTTTGATACAAGCTGTATCATTGCCACCAATTTTTGTTTTTCACTTAACTTTGTGATTTCATTATTCTGAATAATGTACACTATTCTGATGCACTTAAAAGCTGAAAAGCTGTTCTTTTATCTGAGAACGATTTAAAAACCAAACTGGAGAAATCATCTTGTTTAACGTTTCTTCCACTCACTTTACATTTTCCTTGTAAGAGAAAAAGAGAACTGTGCTGTCGTATTGTCACGTGAGACATCGCCCCTCTGTGTCCC